AGAAAAAAAAAAAAGAGAGAGAGAGAGAGAGAGAGAGAGAGAGAGAGAGAGAGAGAGAGAGAGAGAGAGAGAGTGTACAGTTCACACACACATATCCACACAAACTAAATAGTTTAGTAGATAAAAATACTTAATATTTTTAGTCCAATTACAATCAAAATAATATTTAAATAGTGCTACAATAAAATCTATTTTTTACAGTTTTACCAAAAGAAACTTTTGATCAGTGAATCGAAAAACTGAAATAGATACATATTAATTTAAGCCAATTTTACTGAAATAAGAAAACTCATGGTTTTGTATGGAATGCTTTGCATTAAAAGATATTCATATTTGAAGCAAGTCTAACATTTTGCCTGAAATAGCCCACTGTTGTTTTCCTCACACAAGAAGGAATGATTTAGATGAACAGAATTTTCAGAACATGCTCTACGTACGACCTGGTGATCGTAGGCGGTGGCATCGTCGGCTGCGCGACCGCCCGCGAGATGATTATGCGGCATCCAAACATGAAAATGGCCATTGTGGAAAAGGAGAATGCTCTAGCTATACATCAAACGGGTCATAACAGTGGTGTGGTCCATGCCGGTATTTACTACACTCCTGGAAGCATGAAGGTAAACTTAAATAAACATGTAACTTCTTGCACGCAGTTATTTTTAATAGCTCGATATCATCAGTCCTGTGATAAGACTGATAGAAAAGATTAAAAACTAGTAATCTTCATTGCCACATAATACGAGAGTACATCGTTTCCTCCTATTATTATTATTATAAGAAGTAATATATTGCATATTCAATCTCTCTCTCTCTCTCTGAATAAAAAATTTTTAACTAACTTATGTAAAACAGAAAATTAAATATTGATTATCTTCACATATTCTCAGGATTAGTTTTGATTTACATGATTTAAACATTCATGATTTAACATTATAGGCAAAGCTTTGTGTGGAAGGCCTAAAACTATCATACGAGTACTTCTGTAAGAATAACATACCTCATAAGAAAGTTGGCAAGCTGATTGTCGCCCAGAATCCAGCTCAAGTCAAGAGAATAGACGATCTCTTCGACAGAGGAACGAAAAACAAAGTGCCCGATTTACAGATTGTTGAGAAAGATTGCATTTCAAAATACGAACCCAAATGCAAGGTATAACGCAAAAATAATAATTATGTTAAATATAGAAATTGCATAAAAAATTTACCATGTTAATATTTTATTGTTATAAACTTACTCCTAAGTTTCAATCATGTACAAATTCTTTTAAATATATATAAAAAAAAAACCTTTTTTGAAATATAAATCTAATTTATCCTTTTATTCATCTTTTATATTTTAATTTTATCTTTAGTATGTTATAATAAAGAATTTGTATCTTTGTATAAAAACTGCGATAGTGTTTTAGGATGTCATAAATAACATATAAATAAATGTGAATCGAACTATCTCGTTTCTAGGGAGAAAAAGCTTTATGGTCACCGTGGACTGGTATAGTGGATTGGGCAGTCGTGTGTAAATCTTTTGCCGAAGACTTTCAAAAAATGGGAGGAGAGATTTTTCTAAAGTTTGAAGTAATTGGATTTGCAGAGATGACGGAATCGAAAGGGAAAAGTCAATTATCTCCCATCTCCGTTCAATCGAAAAATCGAGTAAGATTTTTTTCCATAGGCCTTATCTTATCGTGTTAATCTAATATCGTCTAATATTCTGGCAATTTTTCTTTTGAAGTGCATACCAACGAAATATGTGCTGACGTGCGCTGGTCTACATTCAGATCGATTAGCGGTGATGACGGGCTGCGATGTAAGTCCGCGAATAGTACCATTTCGTGGCGAGTATCTTCTGTTAAGCGATAACAAACGACATCTCTGCACCACCAATGTGTATCCGGTGCCTGATCCCAGATTTCCATTCCTGGGCGTGCACTTTACACCCAGAGTGACCGGTGAAATCTGGTTGGGTCCTAATGCTGTTCTTGCGTTTGCTAGAGAAGGCTATAGGTATTATTATAATAATATTATGTTTACTCTACGAGGTTGAATAACATTCCTTGCAAGGAATCTAAATCTAAATATATTTATATTATTTAGCTAATTAATAGTAAATCTATTAGTTAGATTTATATCACAAAAGTATTTAAAAAATCATGACATTAAGATTTCATTTTCAGTTGGTTTGATATAAATATAAAAGATTGTATAGAGATGGCAAAATTCCCTGGTTTATATAAACTGTGCTATCGATATTTCCTACCAGGCTGCAAAGAGGTGATAAAATCGATTTTTTATCCCTTAGCTGTGAAAGATCTCCAGAAGTTTATTCCTGAAGTTACATACAAAGATGTAAAAAGGTCATTATTTTGTGTGCTATATCTATTTATAATTTACATATCATAACATTTTCTCTCGTTATCGTTAAGAGGACCGGCGGGTGTAAGAGCACAGGCAATGGATAAAGACGGTAAATTAGTCGATGACTTCGTTTTCGACGGAGGCACCGGCGCGATCGGAAGCAGAGTATTGCACTGTCGAAACGCGCCATCACCAGCTGCAACTAGTTCTATGGCGATAGCAAAATTTATCGCCGATAAACTTGATCGCGACTTTAAATTTTAATGCAAGTCAATACATATAATTATCTAATCGTTCAAATATAAAATATAAAGCAGAATAGGTATTTAAAAAGTTTTCCAAAGAAAATATAAATATTTTCTATATGCCATATAATATTTGTATATTTGTAAGCAATTTATTATCTCAAAAAATATATATTTGTACATTATATATCAATTTATATACATTAATATATTTGATTGTATAGTAATAAATATTTAAGAAATAGTTTGTAATAAGATAATAGCAAGAAGGATCATTATGTACAAAATTTGATGTATGGAATCTTTCAGCATTAATTAAAGTGTCTTAAAAAATGTATTGCTTCAAATACTGACGAATATATCTAACATTGATATCTGTAACAAGTTCATGCTTTTTAAAAGCTATACAATTCATATTTTTGTATAAATTATCTAATAAATTATTTTTTAATATGATATAATACCGAAAATGGTACAATAATAAAAGTATAAAATGAAGTATATGTCACAATTATCACATACGCGCAAATAAAACCGTAATTAAAAAAATTTTAGATAATTCTAAGTTTGTTTCCTGATATCAGAAGACGCGTTGTAGCAAAATCCAATGCAGCAGTTAGATGATATCCCATGTTTGAGAGCACAACTCCATATTCACTTAAAGCGAACATTGAATATACTGAAATTATATAGTAACTCTCTAAGACTCTAAGCTAACAAGAACTACATTGCTAGGCATAATAATAAAAATATTAATTAATATCTCACCTAAAGGTTCACAATATTTATTATGTCTATAAAAGAAGTAGCATGCTATTACTATACATATCACATTCAGCATCATTGATCTTCGTTTCCACTTTAAGGAAACATCGTTTAAGCCTTTTGCAATATTCAGGCAACTTTTCATAATATAATAAGCTACGAACATGTATATAAATGACGTTATCAAAAAAGTTATGAAAGACATCTTATGGAACGCTGTAAGAAAAGCAAAGTATTAGCACATTAATCATACCATACATGCTATATTTATTATAATAATCGTATGTGCATAATTATACAAATTCTTAAAATGTACACAGTCGCATACCATAATTCTCATCGGAAGTCCAAAAGCTTAATGTCACCAGAGAAGTATTTTCAATGGCATACATAACGAGCGCTACATTACTTAGGTATTCTGCCCACTTGTAAACATGCTCCTTGTAATAACGATAATACAGTGTAAATACCAAGGTTCTTAATAACGCTTGCAATGCTATAGCAGTCTTCCATACATCTTTCTGAGGTCTATAGTGACCTATAGCTGCTGAGACAGATGGTAAAAAATTGTACACCTAGAAATTACAAGAAAAACAGATTATTTTTTACGAGGTTTGTATAACTTATATGTCCATGTTTATTAATATAGATTAACTTTAATCTCAATTAAATGTATTCTTTGTCTTTCTTTAATTCTAAAACTAGAAAAAGTAAATTAAACTTAGATTAATCTATTTAGAAGCATACAGTAGTTATTTAATTTTCATTTCAATTTACTGCTTATTATTATTATATTATTGTTGTTATTATTATTATTATTATTATTTTGTTAGCTCTTCTCTCTACATGTAAACTATTTTTGAATGTTTGATTTTCTGCGTTTTTTAGTAATTTATTATGGTTCAGATTTTAAGATAATCTTTTGAGATTTTCGTTTCATTTCGTATATTGTGTATTTATTTATATTTCTCGTTTTACTTTTTATTAAAAATTATTGTATAATTTATGAAGTTATATTTTTCACTGATACAGCAGCATCTTTATTTCTAAAGATACGCCGAATTATATAACTGAATTTGTGCTGATTCATGAATTAAATTCTTTCGCAAGATGCATTCCTTTTAGAAACCTATCATAAACGCTACATTCAAAGTTACGCAAGATATCCCGGCAATCGAGAGCCATGAAAAGAACAGCTGTTACAGTTATTATTGGTTGCATTCGATAAAGTGCACGGTGCACATGATGCATCCTTGTTGTTTACTGAACATTAAACAAGGATAAAATGATACATCATGCGCAGTACGCGCTTTACGAAAAATCACGAGGTTATCTCGCACAAATACAGAGAATTAGCAACTTAACAATCCTACCTGACAATGAGTGGAGGTGGAATGTTCAAAGTTGTAAAGGACCGACCAGGCGACACAAAAGACGAACGCCAGAAATGGCAGAAACACGGTGAACCATGCCACTCTGGAGAACGGCACGACGAGACGGACTTTGGACATGTCGTTGATATCGTTCCCCGTCAACGGAATATACTCTGACCCCAATCTGATCTTGCTCATGATATTAAACTCTTGTTACTACAGTATCTGTTTACGTCACACATGAATGACACTTCCGACGACGAGGTTAAATAATGCGGCAATTTGGAATCTCAGTCGCCACCGACGCATGCAATTCTCTCGATGCGTTTCCTGCGAATCTTCTTCGACGCGACGACGAGTCCCGGCTGAGGAGAACGATCGTACGCGACGATCAACGCGAACTCGGCGAACTCGCGAGTCCAATACGTCGGTAAACGGATCAACATCGTAACAGGTTATGTTCACCAGATCAATCGAACCGCGGCAACTCTGTCAAACCAGAGAGAAGCCTGAGAGCGGCCATGCCTGGGATTTAGCTGTTACTTTATTTTGAAGCGCCTCTATGTCCACAAAACGTGGACAATGAACTATGTAGCCAATGTCCACGATCGTATCGGTAATGTCCACGATTTTTGGTTCGAATCTTCCCTATAGGTCCATGATATTTAAACAAATGGCTCTGAGCAGAGAGAAACCTGAGAGAGGACTAACGACCTAAAACCTGTAACCACAAAATACTGCCGCGCACTACTGCCCACTGCAAAAGTGGATGTGAACTACATGCCAGATCCACTATTCTGAGGATAACGCATATACTTTTCAAGACTGATGGTAAGTAGATATTCGCGGTTCGTATAATCGTATTCGCGCTACATAAAATGTGGATCAGAATAAATATTCCTCCCTGCAACTACATATATGTATGCTTACTTCCATGCGCGTGATGTTTATTATTAAGCTTAAAAGTATTAACATTAAAGATGTATATTACACCCATTTTTTTTACAAATATGTTAAAATATATCGCGCGTGTTTATATTTTAAATAAGTTATATATACATATATATGATCCCGGCAATTAATTCGCATTTAGAGATTTCAACATTACAGAGCTGCTTTGTGAAGTTGGCACCTTAAATGCGAATATTGGTAAAATCATTATTGCATTCGTTTGTCCAC